TTTATGCCCACTAATAATTGCCTACATTATGTGGGTCAAAAAAGAAGTCAGACTTCCAATAAAGTGGATGCAGGACACAATGGGAGTGACAAATTGGTCCATGCATGGCAGACCATCTCTCAACAGAAATTATGAAGAGGCTTTATTCCCTTCAGAATGTTCCTTGCAAAGCCTTGGCAGTTTGTAAAGACTGCTGCTAGAGTCTGACACAGAATTACATTGACCACAGAGTAGTAGCCTGTGAGAATGGGATGAACACACAGTCACACTGTCATTCAAAACGAGCAACTTATATTTCTGTGGGCAGGTTAAAAAATTATAAGATGTTATTTACATTTTCAGGAATAATAGGATATATAACAAAAGAATAACATTTTTCAGCATAACAATGAGCCCGATTCTGAACTCCAGGAATACTGTCAGTTACCTTTTTGGGGGAAGCAAGCTGGAGTAGAAGTGGAAAAAGAAAGAAGCAGGTCAGAGATATTAAGGAAGACAATTTTCATACTTTATCTTCATTAAAAAGCTAAACAAGATACTGAGCCTATTTCAAATGTTTGTATTTGTTTGCTTTAGCACAGGGAGTGAGAATGTACTGGCAATACTTCCACTTCTTCTAAAGCAGTTATACCATAAAGATAAACCAAGAGAAACAAAACCCAAATCCCTGAAATGTAAACAGAAACAGCAATCCTTTTTCATTAAGCAGTGCTTTTACTTCTGGAAGCAATTTTGTTTTACTCCTAGTAACACACATGCTTTGGGCCTCATCCAAAGTCTGTTAAAGTCAATGGGGGTCTTTCTATTGACATCAAAGGGCATTGGATCAAGCTGCTGGATGATATTTTTAAAGGGAAAAAAATTCTTGGGCAACTTGAAATTTTTAAGAACAGCCCTTACACTGCACAACTGTGGAATGTAATGTTTATACAGCATTGCCTAACAGCACATGCTTAGTACTGCTGCAAAACACACATGCTAAAATCGGCATTTTCACTCTAATTTTAAATAGCTTAAGAGCTATTGAGCTATGAGCTTAAGAGCACATTTCTTGGGATGCAACAGTTTGTATTTGATTTTTTTCCCCTCAACATTGTCATTTAAATTCCAACAGGTTAATCCCAAACTTCTAACATTCAAAAGGGAAGCGAGAAGACAGCCTATACTTAAGGGGATACTTCCAACTGAAATCACGTCAATTAAAAAAGGAAGAGTAGGTAGCAGTGATAGTTGGTTCAGGTGCCATATCTGCCTTTTTGGCCTTCTGCCATTTTTGTGGTTTTACAGACACATTTCCTGTTTTAAAAGGCCTTGTCCCCTTTTGCTCCTGTTTAGAACACACACACACACACACACACACACACACACACACACACACACACACACCCCCAGAATGAAACCGAGTATTCACATGGAGCGATTCAAAGATACTAAAAAGACCAGAAATTTTCTTTTAGTTGAATACTTGTAATGGGCATGGTTAAAATAGCACTTACGTGCATTTTTTAATAGCAGGGTTCCTTAAGGGTACTTAGCCCTGTTTGTCTGAAGTTATGCAGCAGGCAGGGTAGATTTATATATATTGTAGACTAATTAAATTAAAGATGTAGAACATAAGCCAGTAGATTTCAACCTCTGTTCCACAAAAGGGCTCTGCAAAAGATGACTATGATCAGTCAAAAGTAGGTGAATACCCTCACTCACAATTCAAAGGGACCCATACCACCATTCAAAATTCCCTATGGGGACTGTACCTCCATTCAAAATGTTTTAGGGATCCGCAAATGAAAAAGGTTGAAAACCATTGCCATAAGCTTTTGTAAGCAGCGGGCTCATTCCCTCAAGAAAAAAAGTATATAAATTAGCAAGCTCTAACTATACTAAATAGCAGTAAGGATACCAGTCCCACAGCATATCTATGTCATTTCTTTGGTTTTAATGCTGTTCTTGGCTGATCAGAATCAAGATGCAAATCCATCATGAGGTCTCTTGAGGCAAAGAACTACACACTACACTTTGGAAGACTATTTCCACATATCATCTGCCATCTATGAACCTCTGCATTTACCATTAAAATATTTTAATATGCTCTTCCAAAAGCTGGCAAGGTGGCAGGACACCATATAGAGTTGCCCAAACCCTAAGACTTAGGACTCCTGATGGAAACACTTCACATCTGAAAGCTAATGAACATAACATCTGGGAAGTGAAAGACAAAATGGTGAAGCAGCTCCCCCATGCAAGAAGGAGAGCTACTTAGGGTAATGTCACTCTTTTGATTTAAAGGAGAAACTTCGATTTAGCAGTGGCCGTGGTAATCAATTAAGAGATTTCACAAAACTATGTCACATTATAGTCAGGCCTCTCTGAAGAAATTAATTCCTCATTAGGGTTTATCACAATTCCATAAGCCTATTTGAATTCTATACAGATTTAAATTTAAACACAAAACAAAACAAACCCCCCCAGAATTCTTCCTTCAACCTTGCATTGTGGATTTTTTCCAGCAAGCTTCATTATGGTGCTTATATGAATTTATTTAAAAAGCAATGTTTTTTTTCTTTACATTGCTCAGCATGAAATCATTTAGATTCTAAATGTTAATGCCCTTCAGGCCTTCCCAGTGAAAACTCTTGGGTCTTGGCTTAAGTTTCTTAGCACCTAGTTACAAGAAACAGTCCTTTGTTCTAAAGAGTCACCTATTAAGTAAGCTGAGTACATCTCTGATGTTATTTAATGCTGCAGTTCACAAATGTTTTCTCTCAAAGACTGTGTTAACTTTTTCCATTTTAAGTCCTATGTTTTTGAAAGGGAGAAGGAAAAAAAGGAAACATCACTTTTCTCACTGGTAACTCACTACCAGAAATTTTACTGTTAAGCACCCAGCTTCTACATTCCTAATGGTAGGTAACATGAACGCAAATGAACAGTACCAAGTTGTAGAAAGAGAGCTCCCCACAGTTTTTTCCTTCTAACTTAATTTCGGGTAAATGCTACAAGGCTTAAGACCATGCATTGTTTGATATATTCATTTGCGTTACAGATTTGTACTTATACGTTAAAAAAAAAGTATGAGTCAGGCACATTAACTAGTTTTTGAGCCTTAATACAGAGCCAATCCTGATATTCAATCTACTGCCAAAGCCACCAGAATGCACTGTTTTAATGGTACCGTACACACATGCTAGCACAGGACCAGCAGCTGCCTGGTATGCAACCTTCCCTGCCAAACTGAAACATGATTCTCAGACCTGGGAGTACCTCATTTTAGTCCAAATGGCACAGGGCAGGAACCTGGCTTGGCACATGAGATTCCATTTGCCTTAAGACTTCCTTGCTCCTTTCCTGCAGGAATTTTGTCCTTAAGTCAGTCAGCCACAGTCCAAACAGAAAAACAGTGACAAGGGACTTAAACTGCAGCCTCACAATTTGTGTTTTCTGAAACTTGCAAGTTGAAAAGTAGGGAGAAGACAGTTTTCAAAAGCTCTCCTATTTCTTATTCACTTGGACCTCTAGATCTGGAGTAGAAGTTACGTAAGCTTTAGGAATATATGAAGTAATAAAAGGTTCCCATTACTTAAAAGCTAGAGTTGCATATGAAAACTAGGCAAAGACAAACACTGATTTGCCAACATTTTACTGGCAAGAGATTCTTTCCTCTCATTCTGCCATTGAATTTTCAGGAAAAAAAGTTTCTATTTCATCACCAAAAAAAGGGAGGGGGGGAGGTGGAAGAATAAACAGACTAGACCCCCCTGTCTGCAGTTTCACTGTAGTTTCCCCTCTTCTCTCTCCACTCTTAGTTTGCCATGAGCTTTTGCTGTCCAAACTTTCCTTCTACTCAGGAGCCTATTTCCAACTTCTGTGTTCTCTTCTGCTCGTCATTCACTGAGTCCCTCCTCTTGTCCAAAAATATCATTCTGTCTTCATCCCTCCTCTTGTCCAAAAATATCATTCTGTCCTAACTCTGTTCCCCCTTCCTTTAAAAAAAAAAAAAGGGGGAGGAAACGCGGTGGCAGCCACTTAGCGGGGTTTTTAATGCCTTTGCTTGGTGTAAATGAATGCATGGGGGGGGGGGGGGGGGGGGGAGGGCGGGGATAGGTGGTAGGCAATCCCACACTGACAGCACTCCGCATGTCTGCTAACCAAACAAACGGCTGTTGCTTATTGCAGGCAGATTTAACTGTTTGGATAATAGTTACCTCAGCAGAAACAAAAGCCTCCTCCAGGAAGAGCTCACCCTTTCATGTGCAGGGCTGAGACACTCCAATCCGCGCGCACACGCACAAACTACAGCCGGGAGATTCGTACGGACTCAGACCACAGAGAGACACTAAATGTGTGTACACGTACGGGGGTATACATGGGTGTACACACACACTGCACATGCTAAACACACACTATAAGCACACACCCTCTATGTGCACACCCACTAGCTATGCACACTCTACACACATGCACACTATACGCGCGCGCGCGCACACACACACACACACACACACACACACACACACCAGACACATGCTCTACACAGTGTCGGCACACTGCACACACACGCGCGCGCAGTGCACGTGCCCCCCGCCCCCGCCGGGCACGGCTCTCGCAGGGGAGGAGGCGCGG